ATCAAGCAGCACAACTGTTTTCAACATTGCTTATAAAAAGAGATTTCTTGAGCAGCAAATCTGCATATTGAATGATTTCTGAAGAATCATGTGATACTGAAGACTGGAGTAATGGCTGCTGAAAATTAAGCTTTGCCATCACAGGAATAAATTACAGTTGACAAATAATCCTATTATTTATTATTATACTCAGGCTGTAAGCCCTTATATGGAAATATTCTGGCCATATAATATGCTAACTACTAACTTTAGGCATGTGCTCCCTTAAAAACAATCCAATGTGAAATTGTCAGAAGAAAAATAAACTATGCAAACAAGAAAACTTGTAGGCTATAATTCATGGAGACCCAATGGGCCTTATTCATGAAACATGAGCAAAACAAATTTCTGTGTAAACTGCACATAAAACTGTTGCATGAATGGACACACGAATGATTTACACAGTTCTGCTCATGTTTCATGAATAAGGCCCAATGTGTTGTGCCAGATTACATCAACTCAGAACATTTCTATTGTAACTATAAAGGCCATTTTTCAGCATTATATATAACAGATCCAACACTTAAATGTTACTGCCTCGAAAATCAATTCATGGTAAATGCGACAAGAAGCAGAACTGTGTTGCAAAACAATGTAAAGCAGAGGCCTAGTGTCAATGGATGCTTTATTTTTCTCTTGTTAGGTCATAGCGTACATGATGTATAAAAGCGACGGCGATCTTGAGTGTTCAATAAACTCATGCCATCACTGCAAGGATCTGACACTTAAAGTTCTGCAGGCACTTCAGAAAAGAATAAACGGAGAGATGGAAAGAGCAAGAAAAGAAAAACTCCTCCTACAAGCTGCTGCATCTGAATGTTTGACGAAGTGCTCTCCCTTTCTCTCGCAGCCGAACCGTTTTACAAAAAAAAGCAACAATAAGAAATGTGAGGAAAAAAAAGTGTTAGGAGAAGGATTCTAGTCATTTACAAAAATAAGTGGTGCTTTAGAGAACGGCTTCAGCACAGATGAATCTAATGTGTGGCTGTCAGTCACCGCACAGGTGTGGATACTGCACTTTGTATTCACTGATTCTACATCTTGAAAGCGCTAAAGTACGGCGATAGTTTTTAACACTGGCTGGTTATGTAATTGCTCAAAAAATGATTTTGGATAATTTTTAACCAAAAAAGTTACGGACTGCAGCTTTAACATTATTTAATCCTGCGCTATCAATGGTGATTAAATCTAAGGATCGGTTAGCTCATAGCACATCAAACTGTGCCAATTATTATTATTGTTATACTTTGTTTTCAAATTGTTGTTGACATTAATAACATCAGCATTGCGTGAGTGCGTGTATTTAGTGTGTATTAGCGTTACCTGTAGATTTAAATTTCTGTACAGTCTAATCTCTAATTGTCATACTATTCGAATTTCATATAAAGAAATTGTTATTGTAACCCAAAAAGCAAATTAAAGTTCCTTACAACTCGTTCTCTTTTAAATAAATCTTTTTAGTAATTAGCTGCTGTGAGAAAAGGCTATAAACGATCCGTCACCTGCAGCATCCTCACGTGAGATATAGCATACTATCCGGGACAAATTCTTTATGCTTACAGACGTGACGTAATGACGCAGCGCCATGTTCGAATTTCCCGCGAAAACCTACCCGAACCACTCAACTTAGAAAACTTTATTACAAGCTTACCGTTGTGAATCGCGCTAAAGTACGGCGATAGTTTTTAACACTGGCTGGTTATGTAATTGCTCAAAAAATGATTTTGGATAATTTTTAACCAAAAAAGTTACGGACTGCAGCTTTAACATTATTTAATGGACACAAGTTAATAGTTGTATTTCATTTACAAATATTAATAAAAAAGATTGATAAATACTATAACAAATGTATTGCTTATTGTTAGTATGTTAATGCATTAATTAGCGTTAACTAATGGGCCTTATTGGAAAGTGTTACCAAAAATATTGTAGTCAGTTTGTGTTGTTTTTACCTTCAAAATAAGTCACTAGGAAACAACATAAAAGTTTTAAAACATATGAACAAAAGTGTGGTTACATTTCTAATTAACTGAATTTGCATTAATGATCTGTTAAAAAAAACTAATATATTATATTATATTCATTTTCTGAAGAAAATTTGTGTAGTACTTGAAAAAACCACTATACTAAGCGCCTTCCAGGACACTGCTATGCGGCTGCTAATGTGTTCTGAGTGGTTTTAGGCTTTTGTTTGATTACTAGCCCATTTTAAAGGAGCCCACCATTGAGTTTTAATCATATATTGTGCCTAGAAAGGTCTTGGTTCTAAGTTTAATAATTAGGGTTAGGGGATTAGAAGGAAAAGAAGCATTAAAACAATACAGATTATTTGCAACTCTAATAGCAATGTTTGCCTTAACAATTACAAAAACTAATAATGTTTGTAAATATTATGAAACTATTTCCAACGTTATAAAAGTCTTTCCACTGTATGTTTTTATGCAACTATAATCACTTAAGTACTATTGCACATGAAGCCTTAACAAACATAAAGGACCTCAAAGTATACAAAGAAAATTAAATCAGAGCACTGAATCATTACATTTCAGTCACTGACAATGTGCTGCAGGATATTAGTTATATAAAAACTAAAACCAACAACACATATAAACTAAAGCTTGAAATCACTTCAAAAGGGTCCCTTTAATATTTCCCTGCAGTGGCTCAAAACAAAACGGCCTTTTCACCTTGCGTGCATTTCCACTTGGCAACAGCACTTCAATCAGAGCGCTGAATCATTACATTTCAGTCACTGACAATGTGCTGCAGGATATTAGTTATATAAAAACTAAAACCAACAACACATATAAACTAAAGCTTGAAATCACTTCAAAAGGGTCCCTTTAATATTTCCCTGCAGTGGCTCAAAACAAAACGGCCTTTTCACCTTGCGTGCATTTCCACTTGGCAACAGCACTTCAATGCTCCCTACAGGAATTCACAAGCACACATACAGTATAAGTCACAGACACACAGTCATCAGCGTTCGTCCTTGTGCTGGTGCAGCTCGCACCGGTCTGAAGCTGCATAATGCGGAAGAGTGGAAAGCAGGCAGACGTCACAGTGCAGAATACTGTAAGGCCATCCGGCAGAACTGGCCTAACAATCTCATACTACTAGACATATGTGCCAAAAGTTCAGGAGAAGAGCGAGAGATGCTAATTCATCTCATATGAATCCCAAACTATCCCAGCTGAAATATTTATTAAGACATTAATATGGGTTCTTCCATTCCTCTTTTTCAGGGTGATGCAGCACCTCTCGGAGACGTACACACACTCCTTCTCAACCTCTTCCTCAACACACATTGCTGCATGTGCGCATGAAGATGTCAGCAGCATCGAGCTCTTATAGATATTGACAGTGAGTTTTTCCATTATACACAGCAGCCTGGAAAGCAACTTCCTCTATTCACCACACCAACACTGATGAAACGCCTCAGAAATGAACGAGGTGTTGAAATCTCAGATTCACACTCACTGATGGCTATTTCATAGATTTTTTTTTTCTCTTACTGAGCGTGTGTGTGTGTGTGTGTTAAAAAAAAAAAAATTCATCTGGGCAACACCACAGAATTCTGTCCTCATTGAGAATTTATTAAGGAAGGATAGGTGTCAGAGTTAGTTTATGGCGATAAAAAGAGGGCAATTAAGAAAATTTGTTTACAAAGAGAGGAAAAGTGAGAGGTTTGATGGTTTTAAAGCTGACTTGATGCTAATAGTGCAGATAATTATACCTCAGTGTGCCTTGCGTGTGTGTGTGTATGTGTGTGAAGGTAGCCTCAGAAGTGTGTTGACAGCTCACACACCGTCCGCTACTGAGTCAACGATGCTAAATGACAGTACAAGGAGTGTGACGATATGCGACGTGGCCGTCAAATGGTGATAAAACAAAGCGCTAACTTTTGGGAGACACATTTTATGTATTTCCAATTGATGCTTCCTTGTTTCATCCGGTTGCCTCATGGTTTTGCATTAGAAATTATTCGTTTCTTTGATTTAGAATGTATTATCTGTGGTGTGCATAATGTACATGCAAAAATGTGTGTTTGAGAGACTGTGCATTGTATAATTTGTGAATACTGCGAAAACAGTTCGACTAAGCTAAGCTTTTTGTTGAAGATACCATTAAATTTCTGATGGCTTTAAGGTCATTTGCATGCTTTGTACTCTTGAAGTCAGCATGAAAAGAAAATTCATGCTATCTAGTTTCTAAATGCATGTTATTGATCTTATTGTGAAAGATTCATCCATGCATTTTTATGACCTCATAATTTTTTATTAAAATATCTTCCTGTGAAAAGAACATACTTCTCTCTGTAGACATATGCCAGACTTTTCCAATCATTTAATCCGCTTAAACCCTGTAGCCTCCATTTTTTAGAGCAACGGACACATCTCAAAATCTATATAGCCAAAGTCCCCACCTTCCTTTTATTTTTATTTTTTTTTCAAAAACCTGTTATACTTGGATGTGTGTCAAAATATGGAAGAAAGGATTTGCTGCTACTTCTGTTTCGTCGAGACATTAAATGTTGACAAAATTAACTTAGCAGATATTTGCATTTAAAATTTACTGTATTTCTTTACTGAGAAAATAACTCGTCCAGCACTGCACAGATTTTTGTCCAATCAGATGCTCTCTAGAATGAGAATTTCCTTCTCCCTAATGGTTCAAAACTGTGACATAACTAATGTATACCGTCTATTAAAAATAATTAAAATGGGAAAGCACTTCGGCAGAAAGCGCATCAAGGAATAAAAACTGTGCTTATCAAGCTGAGATTTTACAAACAGAGAAAGTGAGATGAAAAATCTGGATGTCGTCCAAATTCTCCACAGCCTCCTGTCCGCACATGTGTGGCCCACTCACTCAGCTGCCTAAAACCCCTTCTCACCCTCTATTTCACCTCATATTCTTTTCTCTCTCTCCACACCCATCATCCTCCCTCAGCCACTCACTCGTATCGGGATGTGCTCCATCTCTCTTTCCTTCTGTGGGTTGCGATACTTCTCATAAAAGTCCTTCTTTTTCTTGTTCTCCCGCTCTTCCTTCCTCTCTCTCTTTTCAGCCGGCTCATCAGAGGCATCCGGGGACAGTTTCTTGGCTGAATCCGGAACCTTCTCCACCTCCAGAGAGTTCTCGTTGGGGTTCAGCACAATCACCCCATAGCCCTCCTGAGAGACAAAACAAATACAAATGAATAAACAAATAAACAGGCTCCAATGCTCTTTCTGATTGTATTGGAGTTGCCAAAACAAACCGGCCCTTCATAATAAAGCAAGGTGTCCGGGGAGAGGCATGTATGCCAGCGCTGTGAGTCAAGGCATTGTGTAGCATGCAGTAGAGGAGTGAACTGTTGGGAGAGGGATTAGAGCGGCTCTCAATGCGAACGGAGGTCAGTGTTGCTTTCATGTGCGCTCAAATTCAGCTTCAGCTTCAGTTAGTGCGCTGACATTCAGCATAAAGAGCAATACTGATACTGCGGAAATCCAGCTTTGAGGAAATCCAGGAATACACACACACACACACACACATACACATATATATATATATATATATATACACACAGTATATATATTTTTTTTTTCCCTTTTTTTTAATAAGTCAAAATGATAATGTTTTAGATGTGTCTAATTTTAAATTAATAAAAAAATATTAAACCACTGTAAAATAAACTAATTTTTTAAATCAAATAAAACCAAAGTAACCAAAAAACACCATACAAAAAGCAAAACAATAATTAAATAAATAAACAAATAACACATTTAAAGCCTTTAATACTGAATGGTAGCAGTGTCTCAGTGGTAATAAAGTGTCTTTATGGAGAGCAGGCAGATATGAAACAGTCTGCTGCTTATTCTGCTGCCCAGCTCTAAATAAAAACATAATACACAACCAAACTCCCGCAAAAGAGAATCACCATATCAAAGTCTCCCAGACGGCTCAAAGTGAATTCTAATCCCTGCATATGCTAAAAACATGACCAGTGCTTACAAATCAAACTTCACAAAAAAATAAAATAATAATGCTACTACATTTCAGTAAGAATTACTATTTAAAAATAAATAAAAAATTACTTTCACAAATTAAATACAATTATTTAAAAGTATAATTATTTAAATTATATAAAAAACTAATAGCATTTAATCACAAAACATTCATATTAAAAGGTATCTAATCAACAATTCTGAAGCAATAAAACAGTTTTCTACATATGACAAATTATTTTTTTTCCACCAGTAGAAGAGCTTCAAACAATTTGCATTGCTGCAGCAACAAAGAATCAAAGGTGTCATTTTCAAAACGGCTAATTAAAAATTAAGCTTCTGTCAATAGCAAACAATTATAATTATTTCACATGATGGACTGCAAAGCAAGCATTTTCACGTCTAATCAATACAAATAAGCTCACACCAGCATTTTACTAATGCAACTAATAAGAATTAAAAACACTAATATAAGATTATTATGTGCTCATATAGTTTTAAATACATTTTAAAACCAGAATTTAATTTACAGTTAAATATAAAACAAATTAAACTGCATGCATATTAAACATTCAACACAAAATCAATGCGATCATTAAATTATAAAACTGCAGCCAATGTAATTAATTTCTGTTGAACTCTGAGTCCGCTTCTGATTAAATAAATGTCATGTTCTTTGAAATCCAGTCAGACAGCCTGTGGTGTGTAAAAGTAGAGGAGGCGTTTATCAGAGTTAGTCTAAACTGACCAGACGTGGGGATGAAATTTGTAGTTAGTTGTTTCTGTCTGGCAGGCTGGTGTCATATAAGTGATGTTGGTGGGCTCTTACTGTGGTGTAGTGGTTAGACTGTGTGGCGAGAGAGGCTGAGTGAAGCTCGGTGCCACTGCCCACTGGTGGCAGGTTGGATAAATGACCAAGACTGGTGCTTAATAAAAACCAACAAACTCTCCATTGCCCATTCTTATCTTTTGTTTTGAAATAATAATGTCTTTAAAGCAGAGGTTATAGAATCATTTGCATAAGTTGACTAAACTGAACTTAGTTTTGAACTTAGGTTCATGCAGTGCCATTGGTCTCATATTTACCACTTCAATAAAATATATTTCCAGCAACACGGAATTTTCAGCATTCATAAACAATCATAAAATCTAAAATGTTAATTTACACCAAAAATTGTCAAAAATTCAGTAGTTGTACAAATATCAAGTTCAAGTTCAAGTTCATTTTATTTGTAGAGCACATATACAACAGCCACCAGGCTGACCAAAGTGCTTTCCAGAAGAGTAACAATTTTACCACATACACAGAGAACAAACCGGACAAAACTTTAAAACCGCACGTTTAAAAATTACCATATCACAGTAGTCAATACACTAAGGAAAACAAATAAGTTTTTAGCAAAGACTTAAAAACAGACAAAGAAGGGGCCATTCTAATTTCTAAAGGAAGGGTATTCCAGAGTCGTGGCCCCGCCACCGCAAATATCAGCAAATTAATGTTTCAATAGTTTTTCACTATTTCACTATAAAAATAGTTTTTCACATTTATCTAAATTATAAAGTTAATAAAATATTAACAAATTAAATGATCCAGAAAAAGTTTGAACTGAGTCTGTACATTACGCAGTTGAAGCTAAATTAATTTCAGAAAACTGTGCAAGAGTAATATAATAAAAAATAAAATAAAAAATAATATTAAAATATATTATTATTATTATAAATAAATGGGAAAAGCATAAGAATATAACAATATTTAAATAATTGTAAAAAAAAAAAAAAAATCTATATCAATGACATTTATATGTAAAAATATTAATACAACATGACGTTGATTTATAATCTTATGCCTCTAATAGTTACTGACGAATAAAACGCACTCATGACCAGGCTTCCGTTTCTATGTTTAGCATTCAAACTTCGCAATGTTGTGCGTCCTGTTATCTGAAAGACTGCAGAGCCTCTCTCTCTCTCTCTCTCTCTCTCTGTTACGACGCATTTGCCATATCCCGGCCTCTTCCCATGCCCTCCTGCCCTGGCAAGCACCTCCTCGAGGGGCAAGTGGCGACAGGGTCTGGTCCCTGGGCCAGCGCAGGTCACCGCAGCCCCTCACTGGGGCTCAGACCCCATAACCCGCCGCTGGACTGCCTCTTTAGTGCTCTTTTGTCCAGCTGTCTCAGACCGGCCGACTTCTTGCACATAACACAACAATGACTTGATCTCTCCGAGCTGTGACTGACACCCCTGTGACATTCTGGAAAATTCTCTGGGTTTTATTTTTGTGTGTGTGTGTCAGTGTTGTTTTAATTATACAACAAAACAGCTCACCTTTTAAGAACACGGTTTAAGATGGGGCGAGGGAATGCATAGAGCTCGAGATTAAAGAACTGAGAGCATTTCTACGCGGCCAAACAAACGCTACAAAAGATCCATCACCATGAAAACATCCTGCCACAGCGTATTTGCACATTTACTGATACAAACACAAAAAACGGACTGTTCGGTTTGATCCAGTTAAATGAGTAATTGATAAGTACAGCAATGATGCCGTGTCCCCCAAATCAGCCCTTCTCAAATAAACTATTTTAAGTCTGAATGGCTGAAATGAGACATTGCTAATAATCCTACACCTCTGACGGACAGCCCAGTGTTTTATCTATTTGCGGCCCTTTGTTTGGCTTTGAAGTGAGTGTGTCTCTCTTTATGTCTCTGATGAACTAAAGCGTGTATTGCTCTGGGCCTGGCGGTGAGAACAACACTTGACGGGTACAAAGCACGCTTGATAGCAGTAAGGAGTGTACGTGTTTGTGCGTGTGTGAGATAAAAATGCCACGTGAATGAGTATGTTCCATATGTAACCATTCGCACAGGAATCGACATATAACTTGGCACACCAACATGTTTTTACGTCCTACAACGAAAGCATGTTAACGTGGCAAAAATGCGTGAGTGTGCGATCAAAGCGGGAGGTGGCGAGCTCTCGGTGTTAAAAGCGACGGACAGACTCTCCATTACAGCACGGCCTTGGCCTGGCCCCCTGTGTCTGTGCGTCCTGTTCTCTGATTGGCTGTCGTCTGTGGAAATGCCCACGGCTGAGGAGTCTAGCCAATCAAAGACAGAGGCATCAAGGACAGTGCGTGATGATTGGCGGAGGGAACAGATGATCTGAGGAGGGTCGGCACATATTTACACACACACATACAAAAACTCAAACAGAGATGCGAATTGAAAAAAAGATTTGATTACAAAAACTAAAAAATTACACCCTTAAGCATATCGAGCAAATGTAATAACAATAATAACATTTGCATAAACCTTACGAATACAGAAGCGCAGCAATACACGAGACAAACCGACTGACCGGCAATACGGTGCCGCTCTCTCTCTCCCTCCCACATACTGTGAGAGAACCGGTGAGTGGCACGGGTCCGTATTACAGTCTTTCATTACAGGTTGGTGTGGTGTGCCCCCTCTAGGCGAATGTAAATCCAGGATACAGTATTATAAACCCGAGCCCTGTGAGGGTGAGATTGAGGCCTGCCTTTCAAGGCCACCTCTACTCCCCGCCCCACAGTTCTGGGTGACCTTGTCTGTCAGCGGCGCTACATGGGCTTCTTTTCTACTGTGCGAGAGCCCATTATCCTTTTCTCCGAGATACCACACACAAACCTTCTCTCTTTTTTTTCTCTCTGTGAGATTAAGACTGCTTTCACCCCCCCAGGTCCTTCTGCTCCTCTATACAAATATACCCGGTCCTGATTGGATGAGACAACACACACAGACATACACAGTACTAGATCTGGGCAGTAAGCTGGTATATACCGTATACTGTCAGCGGGTTGAGATTTTGCTGTACTGTTTATACAGTGGTACATATTCGCACAGCAAAGACAATCTTGACATTGGCATTATTACACAACTTGTTATATAGGGGTGTTGTATGGCTTAACGAAAGTGTTTAGTCATTTATTGTTGCCAAGCAATGACACAACGAGCCATATTAATAGAAACCGATGTGTGTTCACAGATATGCATGTATACCGGCAGTTTTACAGCAACTTCAGATAAGAATCAAGTATCTTAAAAAATTTTAGTTTTATAATTTGGGATGCAATAGTATTAAATTTCTAGCCAATGCCGATAAGTTGAACATTTTTACATGTGATATTTAATTGATAAATTGACATTAT